GCTCCCGCCCAAGGAGCTGAAGGAGCTTCTGCGGCGCAACCCTGGCATCCGCCCCGTGGGCGCGCGCTGGGCGCTGACCAGCAACGGCCAGAACATCGCGAAGGCGCGCCTGGTCGCGCAGGGTTGCCAGGAGGACAAGTCGCAGATCAGGGCGGACGCCCCTGCAGGGTCTAGGGTCGCGCTGTGCCTGACCCTGGCCGCCGCGGCCCAGAAGGACTGGGGCATCTCGTCCTGCGACGCGATGACGGCCTACCTGCAGTCGGGTAACATTGAGAGGCCACTGCCCCTGCGCACGCCGGCCAAGAACCCGCCGCCCAGGACCCAGCCCGGCGAGATCGCGATGGCCACGGGCGCGATCTACGGGGCGCGCGACGCCGGGAGGCAGCGGCACCTCTATGCGCAGAAGGTCTTCGCCGAGCATGGCCTCGTAGAGAGCAAGCTCGAGAAGGGCCTCCACTACTGCTATGACGAAAGTGGGCTCGCCGCGGTGGCCCACTCACATGTGGGTGACTTCCTCATCGCCCAGCGCAACAACTCCACCAAGTGGAAGGCCACTATCACATCGCTTGGGAAGAAGCTACACCTCAAGCCAGTCGAAGGGGCCATCAAGTACTGCGGACGTGCGATTTCCAAGCTCGACGACGAGTTCCGCGTGAGCCAGGCCACCGCTGCCGCACAGGTGGGCTACGTCGACTTGAAGGCCCAGAAGGGCCGAGGAGCTGAGGACCGACTCACCGCCACCGAGGTGACGAGCTACCGCCACACGCACGGGCAGCTGTTGTGGCTAGCAGTGCAGACCCGGGTGGACATCGCCTGTCCGGTGAGCTTTGCAGCTCGACGCACCAACGTCGCTACCGTGGCCGACGCGAAGACGCTCAACAAGACAGTCGCATATGCGCAGTCCACCGCGAACTTCGCGATCGTGCTCAAGCGCGCGCTCGTCGACCTGAAGACGGCGATCACCGCGTGCTTCAGCGACGCCGCGTTCGCCAACGTGGACGGCGTCAAGAGCCAGTGGGGCATGGTGAGGGCTCACCCATCGCTCGCGTGACGTCGTCGGCGGACGGTGCGACCTGTGCCTGCCCGTCGCTCGGCACTCCAGCACAGTCAAGAGGTCGGTGAAGTCGACCCTCGCTGCCGAGGGCTGCGCTGCCCTCGAGAGGTCGGAGACCAACATGTGGTTCCGACAGCTGCTGGCCGAGGCCTACAACCCCAAGGCGGCGCTCAAGCAGAACGACGTGCTCGCCGACAAGCGCCCTGGGGAGATCTACAGCGGCAGCAAGGGTCCCGTGACGCACGTCGCTTCAGATGTGGGCCAGTCTATTGAAAAGCGGCCCCGCATCGTCGCCTCCATGATCAAAGAGGCCGTGGACCCCAACAGTGCGCTCAAGCCCACCTGGATCCCTACCTGGGCCATGGTCGCGGACGCCTTGACGAAGACGATGGAGGCTGGCGTCCTGCTGTCGTTCTTCGGGGCTCGCAAACATAGCTGTGGGACCCGGAAGCCACGCGCTGCTATGCTCGCATCAGTCCTCTTCACCTGCCTTGGAAAGGTCAGGGGGCAGCCTGCGCCCACGCCGACTATGCCGGATTACAGCTTCTATATTGGCCTGCTGACGTTCACGCTGGTCCTCGGCATGACGATCGGTTTCGGCATCTCCATGACGCTCTGGCCGATTCTGAGACAGAACAACGCGATCGCCAACGAGGAAAGCGCCGCCGAGGCGAAGGCCATGGGTGAGCACCCTGGATGGGACGGCCGCATGCTCGGCCGACGCCGCAACATACCACCCACGATTCCAGAGGATCGCGACCACGATGGTGACATCACGATGTCCCACGCGGACGTATTCAGCAGCGCCCAGGCATCAAGTTCAGTAGCATCGGCTGCGATTCAGCAGCCGCCGCCGCCGCCACAGGTACCGACAGAACCACCGCCGCCCAGCGCAGCGCCATCACCGTACACTGCAGCATCAGCACGGGGATCTGGACGATCAAGACCAGTAAAGTCGCAGGGAAGTGTTCGGCCCCTGCATCACCAACCGTGGTTTCTGTGACGAGTTCATCGAGTTCCGTTTCAGCCTCATCAGCCAGCGTTGTGTCGTGGAGCGAGTTGTCCCCGACGTTGCAGCCGAGTGACGTGATCAGTTGCGCGACTGGCATTCCTCATCATGATGTGGCCATCGGCCACAATCCGCATAGTGTATACATCACTTGCAAGACCTGCAAGAAGCACGCTGCGTGGCTGCTTCGGAGAGTGTGATGAATGACCTCAAGGGCCGCTGGTGGAAGCTCACTGGCAGAGATGTTTGGCGGGGATCAGATCTAGCGGGCAAATTGGCGAAGTTCAGCGAAAAGTGACCCCCGCTTGGTTTGACGGCAGCTTGGCCGATCAGACCGGACATGTTCTACTTCCTATACTATACGCCCGGTCAATGTGTTTCCCGCACCGTTGCCAATACCATACGCCCGGTCAAGATTCATGTAATCCGAATCGCAGCTTTTACACCCGGATAAAGATCCACGCGCAACACCGCGTTTTTTTGAGGTTTCTTTCGTTTCAGTGCGCACAGTTTATGTTGTGATGACGATCGCACCTAGTATATTGAGAAGATGGCTATTTTTTTGGTTTTGTCGGATCGCGATCGAACCCTGGCCATTGCTGAGTAGACCTTGTATGCTATCTTATGTACTGCAAGCGGTTTGCATGCTTATCTTCGTGGTTTTTGCCGGCGAGTGACTTGTTTGCTACAGTCCCCGCTCAGGCCTGTCAGACGCCACGACCGACCAAGACGGCGACTAGGAGGAGTAAAATTCAAGCTCACTCCCGAAGGGTTTTGTGTTGCACCCCTTGCCCACCGCTGCCGTTTTATTTCGAACGAGGGCCCTTGGCCTTAGAGCTACGCCCCTCGCGAAGCCGCGAGTAAGAAGATCCATCGACAATCTTCCATATCACAGCACGATCCGCACCCTCTCTGGCGTACCTCCCCCCGCGGTGGGCCCGCGCGCGCCCGATTCGCTGGGTCGACCATTCGCGTGACCGTTTGTGACCTCGCAGCCTGTCAGTAACGGCAGAGGGGAAGTGGGGGCTCTGCCCAGCGGTGCCCGTGCAGCGGCGTGCGTTTATGAGGCGAGCACGGCGCAGATCCCGATTCTATCATTTTGCCTTGCACGCCGACGAGTGGGACGCTTGGTCGTGCAATTGTGCTTCGCCCTCTTAGCTTCGTCCTCGAAGCCCCTTCTGCGCGCGAGGCACTTATTTATGTGCGCGCTGCTTACACATGGATACATTTTCAAGCATGCAGCACTCGGGCAGGCTCCGCGAAACAACGTCCACCCACGCACGTCGCACAACTGCGCTACGTAGAACAATGGACAGAAGTGGGGGAGGAAGAAGAGCGGGGAGTGGAGAACAAGGAGGATGGAGAAGGAAGGGTTGAAAATACTGGTCAGGCGCTGCCGCTGCGGGCGGCACGCGCCTGAGGAGGTGGGGGGGGCACTGAGGACAGCGCCATGCGCTACGAAACGCTCCTGCGCTCTGCGGTCTGTTATCTGACAGCGCCGCGCGCTGAATGACAGGCCAGCGCCTCGCGCCATGTGGGAGCGCGACCTTTCATACTCGGCTGGACCCCGTCTCTGGCCCTCCCCGGACCCTATAGAAGTGGCGATCGTTGCGCAGTTCGCTGCCGCTCAGGGAGCAGCGATGTCTCGGCTGGACCTGCGTGGTCCCCGCCTCCACTGGACCCCCAGGAGCCCACGAAAGTGTTGACCGTTGCGCAGACTGCAGCACCCCAGGGAGCAGCTCTCGGCTGGACCTGCGTGGCCCCCGATTCCGCTTGACCTCCCAGGAACCCACGACGGTGGGCGACAGTTGCAAAGTTCGCAGCCACCCAGGGAGCAGCGAGGTCTCTGCTGGATCTGCGTGTCCCCAAACCCCGTTGGACATCCCAGGAGCCCACGACAGTGGCGACAGTTGCACAGATCACAGCCGCCCAGGGAGCAGCCATGTCTCGGCTGGACCTGCGTGGCCCCGATTTCGCTGGTTTCCCCAGGAGCCCACGACGGCAGGCGGGCAGTTCGCAGCTACGCTGGGAACAGCGAGGTCTCGTCGGAGTGCGCGTGCCCCGCGAGTCGGATGGACTTCCGAGGAGCACGAAAGTGGCGACGGCTGCGCAGTTCGCAGCCACCCAGGGAGCAGCGCAGGCGGAGGCAGGAGGCAGCACGCACGAGGAGGGTGGGAGAGAGTGGGCGGGAGGTTGCGCAAGCAGCGTTGTATTCAAAGCAAGAACCCAACACGGGAGGGGTGCGAAATAGCGGGGGGGGAGGAAGAGAAGGTGGCTGGCCGCGCACGGCCCGGAGCGGAACTCCAGAGCGGGAACAAGGGAGGGGGGGCATGCAGGAGTTATGGGATTCAGAGAGGAGAGGGGGGCCAGGATCAGGGTGGTCCTCGCACGCATGTCCCCGTCTTCTGCGCATCCCCTGCATGTTCATTCCCGTTCCGTGCATGTTGCCCTCGCTGGCGCTTTTGGCAAGCACGTTGCCCTTCCCTCCGCCTCGGTCATTTTTGTCGCGCGCCGTCGAACCGAGTCCAGCTTTTGGGTGGTAGTGCAACTTATCACGCCGTGACTGCGAGCGAGTATGATGACATTCGGCGGTTCTCCCGAAATGAATCGCGGGAAGGAAAGTAAGGGAAGAGAGGAGGTGGGAGGAGGAGGAGGAGGAGGAGGAGGAGGAGGAGGAGGAGGAGGAGGAGGAGGAGGAGGGCAGCAGCAGGATGGTAGGACGAGACAAACGAGGTCGAGTTGAGACAATGGTAGTTGGCCTGCGGGGGGGCTCTCGTCGCCACGATTGGACGCAGCTTCCACTGTCTCGATTTGCCCTGCTCCGAAGTACACCGTAGGATGAGGGGTGAGGAATTGGGAGGAAGGAGGAGGGAGGGAGACGGAGAGGGAGGAGGGAGGGAGGGAGGGAGGGAGGGAGGTGGGCGATCCTCTTCGCAGGAGAAGCTCGTCAGCGACGAGAACAAAGACCAGTTCGTGGAGGCCCTCGTCGACTGGCGGCTGTTCGGGTCCGTCGAGCCCCAGGCGGAGCGACGGGCGCCCGACGCCGCCTGCGGCCCAGGATGCCAGACCGCGTCGCGCAGGGGAGAGCCGGGATCGGAGGATCGCGCCGCATCGTCGGTGCGGCTCGATCTGGAGCTCTTACGCGGGCGTCGCCGATGCATCGGCCATGCGGCACCAGTTTCCAACCCCTCGTCGCTGGGGGTGCCGGGACAACCTGCGCGGGGCTGCCTGTGAATCCGACGACGCGAGGAAGCATACACCATCTTCCCGCTGTACGTTGCGACCCAGATTGGTAGGTGAGGACTGTCCCCCTCGGGCCTTCCAGGGTCTTCGTGGGTTCCCCGAGGTTTCTCTTTTCGTCCTTTACCCCTCTTCCCCTTTCGTGTCTGTACTAGCCTTTTAGGCTCGTGCTCTCACATGTGCAAGAGCTCCCACGTTTCCCCCTCATCCCGCTCCTCACATCCCATATGCCGTCCGATGAACAGACAGTGATAAGCGGAACGTCCGGGAGTTGGGATCGAGGGGCAGAGCAGGGAGCCTATATGACCACGCGAATGAGAGCCGTGCAGACACAGACGAACGACACCGAGCAGCCAGCCGAAGGGGTCCCTGCGGACCCGTGGGCCAGGGCCGCCGAGACTGCGACAGGAGCAAGAGCTGTATCGTGACAGTCTAACGTCGTGGGCATCGAGAACGGGCTATGTGCCCGACCAGAGATCGGGCAAGGTGTTGGAGTCCTTGCCAGTAGAGATACAGCTCAAGCTCAAGTCGTTGAGACGACATCTACGGGCCGAATATGGAGTAGATAAGATGATCGAGCATATTGGCATCTTGAATGGAGAAAGGCCGGGAGACAAGAAGAGGGAGGCCGAGGGTGCGGCGCTGTTCGACTACGCCCTCCGGCGTGGAGAATCTCTCACAGACTACGTGCTCCGACGTGACACACAAGTGGCAGACGCTGAGGTCCACGGTCTAACCCTTCCAGATCAGGTCCTCGCGAGAATGTTGGAAGAAGGCGCCAATCTCAGTCCCCAGAATCGCATCAACATGAGGACGCTTGCTCACGGTGCCACGGACTTCAAGTCCATCAGAGACGCCATGCTGAAGTTAGACATCCGAGAGAAGGGGATATTGCCGGCGAGCTCGGCGACGCCGGGCCCCGGCGGCAAAACCTTCGTAGCAGACGACGACGACGAGGTGCTGGACGTTCCCCCTCCTCCGAGGCCAGTCGACGTCGACTCCTACTTCGGCGACCCTTCGGACGACACCTTCGAACTTCCGGAGGAGGAGGCCGAGGTGGTCTTGGCGGCGCTGGAAGAGCAGGAACTTCCGGAGGAGGAGCTGATGGTGGTGCTGGCGGCCGTAATCGAGGAGAAGGTCGGCAGGGAAAAGAGAAGGTCCTGGGCGGAGGCTCGCCAGCTCAAGGCTACGAAGCGCATCGAGAGGGATTTCTTGGACGAAAGGCGGCCGACGAGACAGGGATTCAGGAGGATAACGTCGGGCGACCTGAAGCGACGATCCCGGTGCGCAAACTGTGGGGACAAGGGCCACTGGGCGGAGAACTGCCAGAAGCCGCATCGTTCCAAGGAGGACCGGATCGCCGCCGAGAAAAAGAAAACAGCGGGAGGAGCTCGAGGGCCGGCCTCTTTCTTCCTCAGCAGCGGCGTTGACGACGAGAGTTGGCACAGCTTCGAGGAGTGGACGGGCATCATACAGCAGGTCAGGGAGGGTCTAGAGTCCCTCTTTCTCAAAAACATTATGGATCACGCGCTCGTGGATGCGGCGGCCGGTCAGGCACTGATAGGGCAGGAGACCCTCTTGATCCTCGTCGGTGCGTTCAGGCGCAAGGGATTTCGAGTTCATCATGCGTGGACTGACGTTCCTCAGACCGCCGGCGGGATCGGGGGCAAGGCTGAGATCGTGGGCAAGGCCTGGGTTCCCGCGTCGCTGGCGGGCTACGGTTTCATAGAGCTTCTGGTCCTGAAGCAGAGGCGCCCTCCACTCCCCCCCGCGCGGCTTCTGGAGATGATCGGAGCCGAGCTCGACCTGCGGCTCAACGCGATCGAGGTCGACCACTTCGGCTCGAGGGTCAAGAGGCAGATGCACCGGCACCCCTCTGGCCACCGATCCGTCAGTCTGATCATGTGCGACGCGCCCGACTTTCAGGTTGACGACGAGGTCGGGAAGTCCCTCCCGCCCCCGTGCTTTCCAGCACATCAGGACCTGAGGGGGGGGGGGGGGGGGCGGGGCAGCGAGGGCTTCGCAGGAGCAGCGCTGCGGACGGCAGATAGGGCAGGCAGTTCCCCTCCTTTCACTTTTTCCCTCCACCGGGGCCCCCAGGGATCCCAGGGGAGGGCCGGGCCCTGATAAGGATGGCGGGGCCAGCTTTAGTCGGTCAGTAGCCTCTTCGGCTCGAGCTTCGGAGCGAGTGCTTTCTCTTTCTAGGTCCTCCAGGGATGTCGGGGCGCGAAGGCAGGGTGATCAAGCCGACGAAGAGCAAGGGGCGTCTAGGCGCCTCAGCCAGTCCGATGACGGGGCGCGCGACGCCGCCTCGTCTCCAGGACCGAGAGGATATCGAGACAAGCGATGTCGAGTTGACGGCCGACGAGGCGATGAACGAGTTCGAGATCCAGATGTTCCAGGAGGGATACCTGCGCCACGACTTGGGGCAGGCGCGCTGGGGATCGGGCGTGCTGAAGCCGTTCAGGGCGGCAGTCGAGCCCCAGGCGGTGAAGCATATCGCCGGGGCGGTGCCGCGGGTGATGCAGAAGGGTCGCATGGACCCGGACGAGTGCCCGCACCCGTTGTGGGCGCAGCAGTCAGGAGCCCATGCCTTCTCGACCTACACGTTCTGGATCGCCTTCCACCAGGAGACCGAGCAGGAGAAGAGGCAGGTTGCCGCGAAGAAGCTGGTCAAGGCAAAGAGGAGCGAGCTCCGCAAGGAAATGATGCAGGTGGTCTCGCAGGAGCTGCTGGAGTGGGAGGACGAGTATGCCAGGTCGGTCGGCATCGACCCATGGACGCCGACCTCGACCCGACCGCCTCCGAGGAGGCTCGAGCCCGTCTCGGAGCGGGGGCAAGCGACCTCAGCGTCCCCGAAGGTCCCCGCGAGCGAGAGCTACGTTCCCCACGAGGCGCCCCCGGAGACGAAGCCCATGACGACGCGCGAGATGATGATGGCCCTGGCGGGCATGAGGCAGTGCATCGAGACTCAGCGGCTTTACAACCAGGGGCTCTACGAGACGGTGACGAACATCATGCAGCGCCCGATGCTCTCCGACAGCGACACGACGCGGCTCGCCGCGACGATGGCGGCGACCCGGCAGCCGTCGCTGCGACCCCTGTCGGCCGGCGCCTCCGGCTCAAGGGGGCCAGCGTGAAGGGCGTCGACGAGCCAGGCTTACTCGCGTCTCTGAGTGAGCGGTCCGGGGCAGCTAGTAGAGGAGTTAAGGGAGATGACATCTTCTTGGGAGACATGGGGTCTGGCACCGTAGGCTGAAATCCAGAGTGGGTCTCTCGGGTCATGATCCTGTTCTGGGAATCTGGGGCCAGGCGGAGGGAAGGAAGGTTCGTCAGGTCAGCCGAACTAGGAGCCAGGTTCGGATGGAATCAGCGCGACTTAGAACAGCAGGAGCGGTCCAGTCTCTTCGTTGCCCTGGCCATGGAAGCGCGCGGGAGTCAGTCCTGGAGCCTGGTGCCGGAAAGGCTGAGGTGGGTCGAGGTCAGGTCCCCGGAGGGAAAAGTCTTTCTGAGTCTCCATGGCTAGGGGCCAGCATGCTAGTCTTGTAGAAGTCGAGCAGCGAGGCCTAGAATGCGTGCGCCTCTGTGTGCAGGCGGCGCAGTATCAGAGAGAGCAGGGACGATTTTTCGGATTCGAGCACCCCGAAGGGGCGAGCTCCTGGGAGCTCAAGGAGGTCCAGGCCCTATATTGGGCCTCGACGAAGTGTTCTCAGCGGTTACTGATCAGTGCGAGTTCGGTCTTTCAGTCGTGCCCGATGGAACCCTGTCCCGGAAGCGTACTCGGCTCGCTAGTAACTCTCGTCAATTCCTTGGATGCTGTACGAGAGTGTGTTCTGGGCAGCATGAGCATGCAGCATTGGAGGGCGGGCGCGGGGCCCACAAGTCTGAGCGGTACCCGGTTGAGCTCGTCGCGGCGATGGCGTCGGGCATTGAGGCCGCCGCCTGGCGGTATCACTTCGCCTCGCGGGATCTAGCTTTTACTGCTCTCGAGGACCCCCCAGAGCAGGAAGGTTGCTCCGGGCCGATTTGTAGCTTTCCCGGCTCCACCTCGCCGGGGGCCTCTTCAGGGAACCAAGTCCTGGGGGCCATCCCTGAGGGCGCCGGGGCCGACGAACTCGACGAGGAAGAGGCCCCTGAGGGGCTTCCGGGACCTATGCCAGGCCAGTGGGGGTTCCTGCGGGCGAGCAGGCACCCAAGGGCCTAGACTCTTCAGAGGGAGGTTCACCGGCTGCACGTAAATCTCGGCCACCCCCCTTTGGAGGACTTCTTGAGGACTCTTAGGGTTGCGCGTGCCAGGGTCGATGTGATCAACTGGACCAAGAGGGAGTTTGTGTGTGGCACGTGCGCCTCCCACGCTAGGCCTCATTGGAGACGTCATGCTCATCTCCCTAGGACTTACGAGTTTAACAAGTTAGTTGCCGTGGATCTGTTCTACATCGAAGTCGATGGAGTCAGTGCCCCAGTGCTCAATATACTGGACCATGAGACCAACGATCAGCAAGCTTGCCTATTGGCGAGCGATTCAGCCCTGAACACTTGGCGGGGATTCTTGCAGCTCTGGGTGCGACCATTTGGGCTCCCGGAGATCCTGATTTCAGATGGGGGAGGTGAGTTTGAACGAGAGTTTGCCCGGGGATGCGAACACCAGGGGATATTTCACCAGGTTGTGCCGGCCAACTCCCCGCGCTATAATGGGAAGTGTGAGCGACGCGGTGGCATTTTAAAGGGCGCGCTGTCCAAGGCCTCTCTGTCTCTTAGTCCGACCACTAAGGAGGAGGTGGAGGCGCTGCTGTGCGAAACGGTCGCCGCGAAGAACCGTGCCTATCACAGGGGGGGGTTCAGTCCAGTGCAACTCGTCCTTGGACACAATCCCAGGGTTCCTCGATCGCTCCTGTCGGATGACGCTCTGGATCTCGTGGGGACCGAGGACATTTTAGGGGGCATTGGTCAGGATTCGGCGGCGGCTGGATTTGCGAGACGTCACAAAATTCGCGCGGCTGCTCGAACGGTGATGGCCAGTCTGGATGCTCGCTCGCGTCTTTCCGAGGCCAGCCGAGCTCGAGTTCATGCTGGCAAGTTTTTCAAGCCTGGGGAGTGGGTCTACGTGTGGCGGAGAGTCGCCAACCGGAGCCACGCTCTCCAGAGAGATCGGTGGACTGGGCCAGGCGTTGTCGTGCACCAGCGGGGGGGGGGACTGCATGGGTCGCTATGAGGTCTAAGCTTTACAAGTGTTCCGAGGAGCAGGTAAGACCCGCTACCCGTCAGGAGTCCCTCGGCGCCGAATTGCTGGATTCGACTCGGTTTGATGAACTCAGGGAACAGGTCAGGGACCCGGGTGGACGTACGGGAGCGGTGGATGTGGCGGCCGAGGGACCACCTCCTCCTGAAGCGTGGGATTGCCCCGGGGCCGATGCCGGGCCCGAGCGCCCGTCCCCGGAGACCCGCACCCTGGCCCCGGTCCAGGCCCCAGGTCCGTCGCGTCAGCTGTCTTCGACAGGCCCCGGAGGGGATTCGACTCTTCTCCCAACGCCTTCCCCCTCTTCGCCTTCCGGGGGTTGAGCTCGGAGGTGCCTGAACTCGCCGGGGGGAGCAGTAGGGCTCCCAGTGAGCCTACGGTAGTCGAGGAAGATGTGGCCCGAGGTGAGTCGAGGATTGCCTCCGAGTCTGTGGCTCCCTCAGAGCGTCCGCCTCTGCGCCCTAGGTCGACTCCGGCGGAGGATCTGCCGGGCTCGCGATCGCGAAATGGCAGGTGAGATCGAGCGAGTCCCGAGAGCTGAGGCCACGTTGCCGGCTGACCAGGCCGTGAACCGGGTGTACGGTCGGGCTCCTACAATGAGGTCGCTATCGGTTCCCAGGGCTCGGAGATCGGCCCCTTTCGTTCGGCCTCCGGAGGCTGTGAGTGGGCCCTCGGATGAGATTCAGCCATTGGCGAACGATGCTGCTAGAGACCCCGAGCCCATTGACCCCGATCTCCCGAGCTGGGGGGCCGAGCCAGACGACTGTCAGGATCAGCTTCTGCTGGACGAGCTGCGCGGGTGGTCAGAGATCCCTGGCGCGCCCGACCATTTGTCTTGCTTTGGCCTCGGCGGGGCCCGGGGTAGTTTTTCAGGCGCCTCCGGAGTGCAGCCCAGCAATCCTCGAGGGGCGGAGGTCGCGTGGAAAAAATTCTCTCCCGAGGAGCGGGCCCAGTTCGTGGCCTCGCATCGGGCCGAGTGGGAAGCTATAGTGTCCTCGGGGGCTGTGAGGGTGCTGACTCCGGAGCAGTCTCGTAGTGTGCGTCGTCGGTTTTCAGATCGTATTGTCTCGTCTAGGATGGTGAGGAGGTTTAAGCCGATGGAGGGGGTGGGTGCGGCTGCTAAGGCGAAATCAAGGTGGTGCGTCCATGGGCATCAAGATCCGGACGCTGAATCTCTTGCGGTGTATGCACCGACTCCCCAGTCGGAGTCAATTGCCCTGGTGTGCCATATGATTGTTTCGCTCGGGTGGCAGCTGAATGTGTCCGACGCCAAGAATGCCTCCTGCCAAAGCAATAAGCTCCAGAGGCCAGCGGGTGCCATATACGTCGAGCCATGCTCCGGGCTCGAACTGCAGCCAGATCAGCTCATCGAGCTTATAGCTCCGGTCTATGGCTTGAATGATGCCCCCCTGCTCTGGCACCAGACCCTCACAGAGTATCTGGCGTCCCTCGGATTTGAAAAGTCCCTTTTGGAACCATGCCTCTGGCTGAAAAGAGGCAAGGTCGGCGCCCTGGAGGGATTGATTCTGATAGAGGTTGACGACCTAATCGTCTCGGGCCAGGCTAGTTTTGTCCCAGGGCTTCGGACCGCGCTCTGTGAGAGGTTTAAATTTGGGAAGTGGAAAGAAGGTGATTCGGAATTCGCTGGCCGGCGCTTGCGCCAGCTCCCCGATCGCATTTTCATTGATCAGGGAAAATACATTCGTGAGCAACTTTCGGTTATGTTTCTGGACAAGGAGCGCAGATCAACCCCGGAATCCCCTCTGACGAGGGCTGAGATCGCCTCCTTTCGTACGCCGCGATTCGAGAGAATCGTCGTGCCCGGGCCTCGGTTCTAGCGTGGCGCCCACAGCGTCTGAAGCGGGCCGCTGCCAGTACCGTAGCTGCCGAGACACTCGCTCTCCCCGGAGCAACTGCTGAGGCGCAGTGGCTACAAGTACTGTGGCGTGATGCTGTATTTGGTGATGTGCCTAGACCAGAAGAATGGTATAGTGCTCAATCTCCTTTCTTTGTCATGCTCTCGTCTCAGTGTCGACTCAGCGACGCCGCCCAAGGGATGGCTGTGGTCGACGCTAAGTCAGTCTTCGACACCCTCTCGAAGAATTCTGCGGGTTCAAGGGCGGGCCGTCGCAACAGCGTGGAGTTAGCCGTGATTCGCGACAGTCTGTCTGCCGTGGGGAGCATGGTGCGTTGGGTACCCCACGGGAGAATGCCCGCGGACCCTCTCACGAAGGTCGATCCTTCGCGCGGGAACTTAGCGCTGCACGATCTTCTTTGCCGAGGCAGTTTGGCACTCGTCGACGAGTGCGGCCATCTGGACGAGAGGGCTTGGAATGACGCCCTCAAGTCGCGTTCCCGAGGTGCCAGCCGCGAAGCCATCGAGCTAGCGGCGACGAGTGAGACGCATTTTGTGTCTCGAGCAGGACTCGATCTCGAGCCGAAGTATGTTTCCCTCGACCCTGGGGTGTGGGTCGGTTTCACCTGTGCCAGCGAGAGGCTGGCGACCGGAGCTCTCGAACTTTGTCCCTCGGGTCCATGTGCTGTCTCCTCGTGCTCGCCCTCGCTCTCATCGCTTGTGTCGTCCTCGTTTCCCTCTCAGTCCCTTTTCCTCCCCCCGCAGCAGTGCGAACCGCAGATCAGGGAGATAGACGGCGAGGCCAGCACCCGGTTGATGGAGGAAGAAGAGGAGGAGGAGAAGGGGCCTGCGAAGGGGCTACGGAGCCGGGAGGGGTTAAATTCCGCGAAAGTTAGTCCCGCTGTCCCCCTCGGGCCTTCCAGGGTCTTCGTGGGTTCCCCGAGGTTTCTCTCTTCGTCCTTTACCCCTCTTCCCTTTTCGTGTCTGCGCTAGCCTTTTAGGCTCGTGCTCTCACATGTGCGTGCGAAAGAGCTCCCACGTTTCCCCCTCATCCTGCTCCTCACATCCCATATGCCGTCCGATGAGGAGACAGGACCTCGGGGCCCAAAATCATGCAAAACCGCCCGTCGCAGAACAAAAAAACGACGCCAGGATCTCGAGGTTACCATTTCTCCTCCTCCTCCTCCTCCTCCTGCTCCTCCTCCTCCTCCTCCTCCTCCTGCTCCTCCTCCTCCTGCTCCTCCACCTCCTCCTCCTTCTCCCCCGCATGCCCCTTAGGAGTGTCGCCGAGGCTCTCAGAGAAGAGGACGACGACGCCTCACTAGCCGCCCATCGGCCAGGCAGAGGGCGGGGATTCTTCAGATTAGCCTTTTTGCCGCGCTGCCCCAACGTTGCGCTTTTTGGAGTTTCCCTTTTTAAAGTGGTGGCGCAGTTGCCGCGAGTGGCTTTTCAGACCAGAGCCGAGAGGTTGCTGGCCTCACAGGGAGAACAAAACCTCCTCCTCCTCCTCGTCCTCCTCTTCCTCCTCCTCCTCCTCCTCCTGCTGTCCCTCCCTCCCGCCTCCAGCGGCGCCCGGCGCTAGGCGGCGGCCATGGCGCGGGGCCTTGCGGAGGTGGTGCCCGAGCCCGTTCTCGTCGAGTTGCGCGCGCTGTTGCCGGGGGGCCGCGGGAGATTGCGCTCGCTGGAACGTTGTTATCCGTCCCCCGTCTCCTGCTCCTCCAGATCCCAGGGGCCTCGTCCGTTCGTCCTTCTCCATTCCTCGTCGTTGTCCTCCTCCACCTTCTCCTCTTCCTCCTCCTTCTCGACCTAGCCCTCCAACTCCACGTCCTCCTACTCCTCCTTCTCCTCTGGCGCCAGACCATATGACAGCCTTGGTTGTTCAGCTTTCTTTGCTGTGTGTTCTCGGCAGCTTTCCAGCTTCGGGGTGCTCTCCAGCAGCTGCGCCTCGCCGACAGGCATCCCGGGGTGCCCGGATCGCCCCGAACGGCCGCCGGAGGCCTGAATTATGGCCCGAAAGCCGCCGAGGAAGGGGGATGGGGCGAGGTGGGGTTCTGGTTGACCCAGCATGGGGTCCAGCGAGAAGAGGGTTGTACGATAGATTTTGCGCAATAAATTTGCGGGGTTGGGTTGCAATAGAATTGGGGCGTGCGATACATTCTGGTGCGCAAATGCATTGCTGGATTTCACGTGCAACGCATTCGTTCCGATACAGCGCGATCTAATTCTCCAGCGCAATACATGTGCAATGCAATTGCCCCATCTCTTTTCAGCTGGACGCCCTTCTGGGTCAACCAAAGGAAGGCGTCGGCCCCCAGCCGCCCATTGGTCGCCAGTGGGACCCCGACAGGCAAACCCGCCCATGCGAAACGGGGCGGATCGCCGAGGGGTGGCCGCACTCTGTGTTGTTGAGGGTCCGCCCGCGTCTCCTGGATCTGCCCCGCTGGCGGCGCTTCTGGCCCCGCCCTTGGCACGCTTCGCGCTCCAGGGAGAGCGGTCCAGCGTCGCCCCAAGAGATCGGTGCGGACCCTCGAGAAGTGACGTGGATGCTGCTGTTCCTTCTTTGGTCTCCCGCTGCTCATCCTGCTCCGTCCACGTGCCTGTGCCCCTGCCTTCTCTCTGCGGCGTTGCCGCAGAAGCCAGGTCTCCCGTGGAGGTTGCCCAGCTGCTGAGCGGCCTGGGTGAGCTCAGGAGAGCGTTGCGCCGTGCTTTGGTTGCGTCGCATGTTCGGCTGCATCGTGGAGTCACGAAGGTAGTGTGGCGCCGCGGCACGGAGGCACGGGTAGACACTGACGAGGGAGGAGGAGAAGGAGGAGGGGACTGAAGAGGAGGAGGAGGAGGAGCAGGAGGCGGATGAGGATATTGAGGAGGAGGAGGAGGAGGAGGACGAGGAGGCAGAGGCAGAGGAGGAGTAGGAGGAGGAGAAGGAGGAGTGGGAAGGAAGAGGCGGGGTGGAGGAGGAGGAAGAGGAGGAGGAGGAGGAGGAGGCAGAGGAGGAGGAGGAGGAGGAGGAGGAGGAGGAGGAGGGGGAGAATGATCAGGGCTGTAATCCGCCTGCCCCCCTACAGGGGCTCCCAGTATCATACATCGAAACCACTTTTTTGGAGCTCGCGCCGCTTACTTTTTGAGGCACTGTTTTTTTGCTCCTTGGACCACTCGTGGCCGGTTATACTGAACCAGTGTTTGTTTGTTGTTTAGAACGCCCTCAAGACAAGAAAACACATCGATCGGTGTTATCAGAGCAACGGTCATCGAAAAACGACGCAGATGCGCTGAACGAGAGGACGACAGCGCGACCCGACATGTCCGAAACTTCTGAAGAAGCACCAACCTCGACGATTTTCGAGCACGAACACTGCCACCAGCAGAGGGCAGGGACCCCACCTAGGCATTATCAAATTGACCGCGGGCCGAGGCAGTGAGGAGCCCAGGGCCACGCGAGAGATGAATGCAGTTGGGGCGCAGGCGGCATTGGCAAACGCTTGTATATGATGTGGGACTGGGGGTTCGGACGCACTGTCACGGGCAGCTGCTTTGGCGGCGGCGAGCGCGGCGGCAACGGCGTGCAACGGCGGCGACAAGCGCGACGGCGATCGCGGACCACGATGACGGCGGCCCTCCTTCTCTTTCCTCTCTTCTCCTCGTCCTCCACTCGTTCTCAGCGCGCCTCCTGCTTTCACCTAGCCCTCATCCAATCCTTTATGTTCTCATTCCTTGTCCTCCCCCCACCCCCTTCCCCCCTCCGTATCCACCCCCCTGTCCGTATCCCCCCCCGGCTCTTTTCCGATCTCCCCTCCTCCTCAATCCTGGTCCTCCTGGTCCTCGCTCTTTCCTGGGAGCGGCAAGTACACCGCTCTCCCGCCGACGCCGCGCCACGTGCGGCTAGTTGCCCACGCGGGCGCTCTCGATCCGTTCCTGGATGAGCGGGTGCACGGACTGCGCCTAGGCTCCCCGCAGCTTGCGCTTCTCGCGCTTCCACGCCTGCGTCATGATGTTGGCGGCCAACTTGATGGCGTCGCCCTCATCTTGATGAAGTTGAAGATCATCCTTCGATTTCGGTGATGAGCACACTGTCGCAGATCAGAGCCGACGCGATCACCGTCGGCTGGTCCACGACGGCCCCGACGTACTCCACCTTGTCGGAGTAGGCCCTCTACGGACTCCTCTCAATCGAATGGTCTTCCCGCCATTGTGCCCAGGTTGTAGGTATGAATCCTATTGGATGTTCGTTGGGAACCGTGGTTGGCCTTTTTTGAGGCCTCTTGGGGGCAGTTTTGCGGCCTCTTGGGTGCAGTTGCGAGGCCTCTTCGGGGCAGTTTTGGAGCCTCTTTGGGTCGCTGTTGGGTCCCTTGGGGGCCTTTTGGAGCCACTTGGGGTCTTTTGGGTGCCTCTTGGGGCTCTTGGGCCACTCTTGGAGGCCTCTTGGGCAGTCCTGGGGTGGTATTGGGAACCTCGGGCTGTCTGGGACCGTCGGAAAGGAAACAGGCGAGAACGCCAACATGTTTCAAACAACGAAGGCAAGTCAATGATTGTTGCCTCTCAGGGTCCTCTTGGGAGGCATCTTCGAGGCCTCTTGCGGCATCTTGGAGGCCTTTCGGACCATCATGAGGCCATGTCGGGCGTCTTGGGGCGATCTTTGGGCGTCTCGGGGCGTTCTGAGGCCGTCGTGGGCCTCTTTGGGCTTAATTGGCCCGTTTTGGGGCCACCACTTCTCCGAAACAGCCACGCGAGAAACCGCGAGAAATCCCAAGATCAGATTTCGCGATGTGGGGTCTGGGTCTCTGGACGACTGACTTCTCAGGAATGAGGCCTGAGGTTGAGAGGATGATGGCAAGGACCTGAGGGCACGCCCACTCCGTGCCCAGAGGCACGGCGGCGGATCTACATAACCATGATAATATGATGATCATGGTTCTGACGGATCGTATCGCGTTTCCGAGCTCCAATGGGGGAGCCGCCCGGGGGTATTTCAAATTGTTTTTGGTTGGAATCATGGGGGGTGGCAGTGGCTCAGGTTAGCAGTCGGTGGATTCGGCGAGGTGGCAAATATTATCCAGGAGCAGTGATGACCCCATCCCCGAAGGAGAACAATGGGGTTGGACAAGGAATCGCGATTGACCATCTCCTGCCCAGGAGGCACGGGGGGGTTGAGCTAGGAGACCACCTGCGAGAAGTTGTCCAGGTCGGTTTCGGGGAAGCCATCATTGTCATTTCGGGCCTGGAGATGCTGCCTGTGAGGCGGTCCGGTCGGTCTCGCCTGAGGCATCCCTGCAAGTGTGGGTTTCGAGATGCCGCGCGGGAGATAGTCCAGTCCATTTCGCTTAGACATCCTCGCCGCTGTCCTGAGGCTGTCCAACCCTTTTTGGCTTGAGACATCCTCACAGTTGTGGGCTTCGAGGCACGCGAGAGGATCACCCAGCTTCCCCTCCACACACTCGCAATTCAGGACCCATGGATGCCCTGACCTGAGCTGGTCCAGGCCAGTTTCGCGTCACACTTCGTCGCAATTCTGGGCTCGGATATGACCTGGCCTGAGGTCTTCCAGCCATCTTCGCCCGATGCATCCTCGCTATTCTGGGTTAGTCGATGCTCTTGCCTCGCAGTATCCGATCCCGTTTCCTCGTGGTTCTGGGTTTGCAGCTGCCGTGGACTGATCGTTTCGCTTGAAATATCCTTGCAACTCTGGGTTCATGTACTTATGTCCTCATCTCACGTGGTCCCGGTCCTTTTCGCCCGGGACATCGTCGGGCTTGTGTTTTCTGGGGTGCCCACACCTGAGGTGGTTCAACCAATTTCGCCAGAGATTTTTCTTTTCTGGACTTCGAGTTGTCCTGTCAATGCTGCCGCCGATGGCCCATTCGACAATTTGTTTCAGTTGTCAGATGAGCATTCGGGGAGACTGGAACCTTCCTTACCGCCAGAGTCGGGGAGACTGGGACCCTCCTTGTTGCCAGACTCGGGGAGACTGGATCCCGGGGCCACTTGTCAAACGGGCGAGGGTACTTAGCTGGGCATTGCACGAGGCGAGTTGTCCGTCCTCTGCCGATGGGATGTTGGGAGGAAGTGATTTCACACGCCAGTCACACAAAGAGGTGGGCGGATCTCCCTTGCCTTAGACGCTGTGTGGCAATTCGTCGGAGGGCAGGCCCGACGTTGCCCCGCAAGCCAGACTACTGCTGCTGCACCGCGCCTTACCTTTGCTCAAGCAAATGAAATCATTTCGCCTTCAAAGCCGGCGGGTTCGGAAATCCTGGGGCGTCGCGTCAAGTTCGCGGGAGTTGTCAGTGATATGCCAGCACCAAGTTTGGCCAGGCCTTGCATGGGCTTTCGCCAGTTGCCCCTGAGAGGCCCGGCCAACTTAGGAGCTTCGATATCTGGCCGGTCTGACTCTTGGATTCCAGTTTTGGTCCGGTCCGCCGTGCGCCATTGAGATGTAGATCGGTCCAATATGAGAACCCGAATGGTGAACCTCCTGCTTTCGGCCAAAGCCAACGCAAGTAAAACGAGGACGTGTCGCCGGTGGAAGCTCGGCGGAAATTGGCGGAGGAACAGTGGGAGACTCCATGAGTGGTCAATGCTGGCTCCCCAAGAGCTTTCGTAGGTTGCCAGCTGTCGTCCGACCGTTTTCTGCGTCGTTTCCATGATTCGGGCTGTGGACAAGCCCTGTGCCGAATTCGGTCGTCCAACTCACTAACGGCCAGGCTCACTTCGCGTTCTCAGACGGCCCAAAAGGCCCCTGAGGTCGTGCCAGGACTGCCTCAGACAGAGCGTGCCAATGGAGCCCCTGGTGGCCCAAAGACGGCCCTCGAAGCGCCCCTGAGGCGTCCGAAACGGCCCTGATGCGGACCAAGATAGCCCACAGAGCCCCCGACAGTTTCCAAGGCAGCCCCCAACTGCTAGCAGCGGCGCCCGAAGCTTCCCAGGCGGCTTCCACGCGGCCCACATTGGTTTCCCCGACGCCCGAATCTGCCTCGGAGAGCATTGGGGGCCCGCTTGGCCAAGGAAGGCTTTCAGAGAGCTTTAACACCAGTGCAGGTTAAGTCACGCCAAGGAGCTTTCAGGTCCACGTCTCAACATGTGCAGGGCTGCCGATTTCAGATTTCTAGGTTCAAGCGACCCGCGCGGCGTTTTCAATCCCCCATGCAGCGCGCTTTTCAAGGCCGATAATTGCAGAGGCGGCGGCGCGCGGTTCGCAGTGTGAGCGGTTTGCGCGGTTTTGCAGTTTCATTGTTCGCGGCCATGGAAGTGGCGCGGCGCGGCGCGGGGGCGCGCGAGGCGCGGCGCTGCGGCGCGCGAGTGCGCCCGCGCCGCGCGGGGGGCGATCGGCAGGGGCGGCGCGCATCCGCGCGCGGAGAGGCGGGGGGGGGGCGCGCGAGTATTCCCCCCCCCCCCCGAGGGGTCGGGCCGCATCGGGGTCGCGGGGGGCGCGCGAGCGCGCCCCCGCGCGCGGCGTTCTCGCAGGTGTTGGAATATATTTGCGTCAGCCCGCCAGGCGCGCAAGGCGCGCGCAAATGGGCGCGCGCTCGGCTTCCGCGCCCGCCGAGCTGCGCGGCGCGGCCGGGCGGACAATTTGAACGCCGCCAGTCTCGAGCGAGTGCGTCGGGGCCTGGGGGCCGACGCGGAAGTCATTCAGATATTGAGTCAGAAGGCATGCGAGGAGGCGCGCGCGCGCCGCGCGAACCTGCGCGGGC